AAAAAAAATGATTCCTTTTTTAAAATCAAATACAGTGAAAGAAGAAAGTTTCATTTGACCGGTTGACAAAATATCTGGCCAGTCATCTGTTTAAATATTAAATTATGTTTTAAAAATGTTACGATTCATATAAAATTTTGAGTGCAATTTTTTTTATGTTTGAAGTCTCAGGTAAAATTATTTTATTTTTATTGAGTTTTTTTATGAATAGTGAGTTTTGTGACCTTTCATTTATTTTATGAAATCGGTTACATTATTAAAAATTTCATTTGAAAAATTTCTTGGGCTATTTTTATTACCTTTTTATTAATTGGAATTTTTCCTACGTTTGATAATCCAAACCAGAGATATTGTATTAGTTTTCCTAAAAAAGCAAACAAGGTTTTTACAAATGTTTTTATGAAAATTGAAGTATCTTTTGATTTTCATTACAAAAACACACGAGGCAGTCATGACTTGCCAAATTGTACTGAGTATTATTAACACTAAGTCGACTGCACCATGACATAACAGGTTATACTGCAATAAGTCCATAAAGGTACTCACCTTGATTATTATAGTTCTATAGATTGTTGAAAATGTTTATGATAAGCTTCTTGTCTTCAATAGAAACAACGATAACATATTAATAAAAATATTATCAAAAATATATACCGTCACATGATAACCACTTTAAAATATCGTTGTACCACCTTTAAAGTATTAAGATAAAGGTATAGATATTTTCTATCCCAACTAAAATATAATGTTCAACGACACGTCAGAAGTTAAACAAGAATTTTACGTTCATCGTGAGTGAGAGGATATCCAAAAATTTTTGGTTTATTCTATTAGGGTATTTTTATTAATTTTAAACTATGATATAACTTCACTTTTGACATATATATGATTATTTTAATATTTTACGCACTAAAATTTTAAGACTACTTTAATTTAAAAATAAACAATAAAATAATTTTCAGATAATATTTAACAGTTCCAAAGCTCTTGAAAAAGATGAAATATACAATTTTCTTTTAGATTTTATAGGAGAAGGATTGGTTACAGCTCCCGGTTAGTAAAATATAAATTATTGTTATAATAAATTATCTATAGTTAAACTAAAAATTCAATTATAATATTCACATTTAACAAAATTAAAGTACATTAATTTTCATTTTATATTTTTCTCAGAACTAAAATTCAAAGAATTTAAGTTCCGAGATTTTTTTTATAATTCTAGATTATCACTAATTATTTGATAACTAGATAAATTAATTGAAATAGTATTGTGCAAGATAACATTTTTACTTAAACATAGATATTTCATAATTTATAATAAACTTAAAATGTCAATTATTGTTTTTAGTTTACAAATGGAAACAACATCGAAAAATAATTTCTCCTGCTTTTAATACTTCTTTCGTAAATCAACTTTTATCGATTTTTAATGAGAAAACATCAATCTTAATAAGAAATCTTCAAAAAGAACTAGGAAAAACTGAAACATTTGATATTTCGGATTATATAATTTCTATTTCAGTTGAAACTATAAGTGGTAAATGAGATTCTTACCCTCGTAACAATAAAATATTTTGAATAACAAAGAATATAATATTTAAAATGATCGAATTTTTTCAAAAAATTTTCACAACATTCATAAAAGTTAGAAGACATAGTAACTTTTTGGAAGAAATACTACTGTATTAACAGTATGACCTGCCAATATTGAGGATATATATTTTACATTATTTTATTGAAATGTTTCTAGGACAATGTAAAAAAAAAAATTCTGCTATGTATTCAAAAAGTATTTTATATTTATTTGTAATGACTAATAAATTTAAATGATATTGAATGTTTGGATAGTTTTATAAAAAATTATCTATATTTTTTTTTAGAAATATTTTATCAGAAAAGTTTTATAATTTGATTTTAATACTTAAGTCTTATACCCAATTTTTTTCATAGAAACTGCAATGGGATATAGTTGTGATACACAAAGTGATAGTAAATATGTCTTTAGTAAAGCAATAGAAGAGTAAGTAATAAAAAAATCATATGGTACTATTTTTATATTTATAGATGATAATCTGGTATATTAGTTTGGGCTAAATATCGATTTTTTTCAGTAATTTTATATGCCTGTAATAGCTTATCGATTTATATTTATTAACTGAAATTTATTTCAGTTTTTGATCATTTTAAAATTTAAGTTAGTAATAATAGTTATTAATTTAAATTAAAATAGAAATTATAATTTTACCTGTTGACTAATATGACCGGCTTATCGCATGTCAAGCGCTCAGTCGTTTTTTTAATTGGCTATTTATCCAATAAATATTATATTATGAATACTTATATACTTTACTCTGGTTATGTCTAATCAGACACCAGTGGTGAGTAGTCATTATACCTTTCAAAATCGACCTTAATCGCTTTCGTTACAAATTTTCGGTTAAAAATCATTAAGCTTCTGGTAAGAAAACGTCAATTAATAATAAAGCGAATTACTTTCGATACAGTCTCTAATTCCAATTTTTTTTTTTAATCTCGCCTTTCCACTATGAAAATGGATTAAACACTTCATTTCCAAGCTCTTTTTCATTAGATTAGGTATTATTAGCTATACGACTATTATGTTTCTCCATGCCCGGATAAAGCAACCTCTCCATCCTCATGTATCCTCTGGAAATTGAATCATTCCTCCACTGATTACTTCTGCGTCAAATGGACAAATCATAAGAATATAAAATAAATTATGGCCCCCAACAACGTATTCTATTCTAAAGCTNAATATAAAATAAATTATGGCCCCCAACAACGTATTCTATTCTAAAGCTGCTAAAATTAAACGCTCTGGTATTAGCAGCCCTGCTTATTTTTTGTTGCTAAT